ATTGACCTTTTTTGCAACTAAGATAGCAACACCATAGCGATGATTGACCTCGTTGTTACCTGAATAATACATGGTTCCATTATTTGTAATTTGTTTGCCTGAACCTGGCCACTGTACGTCACTCATACCTAAAACATCAATTTGGAGGTTTTCCATTTCAAGCAGTACGTTCGCTAATTTACCACTTGCATATAAACTTCTGATATTCCAGGTTGCTATTTTCAATGTCTTAAGGTTTTAAGTATGTCTCTGGTTTACGACCTGGGAGGCCCTGTGATCTACAGTTATTCCTCCCCTGCCGGATCTTGGATTCCGTGCTCCATAATCAGTAAGTTTGTTTACTGTACTTGTCATTTGCCATTCATGACTTTACTAGGGGTACTCTAAGAGTCTTTAATGCAGTGGTTCCCCGTTGCCTTCTGCATCCTTACGCCGTTGACATATTTTTCGATTCATCCGCCTTTAGGACCAGTTTCCCAACCCTTGGACAAAAGAGTGCCTTTCCACTTATTAACTCATCCGCCCGCAGCCGTTGGTCATAAGTGGGGGATTGCTTATACCAGCAATCATTAGGTGAATTACCTGATGGTCCACGGGAGGTATTTTATTTCCCTCCTACTCACCGGTAAACCGGGTCGGACATTCCCCTATCCGCCACCTGGGGACGCGCTCTCTAGAGGTTACAGGTTCCTCCGAGAAATAAAAATCTTACTGGGATCAAAAATTTGGCCTATGTGAGCGCTTTAAACGTCACGTGTATCTCCTACTGCTAGCTGCACAGAACGAATAATATTTTCCCTTTCCAATTATTATAATTCATTTCAATATAAATTGCGATGATTAAAATTTTTAACCCCCTTAATTTGTTCCATGTAGAACCAATTTTAACTTTTTAACAGCCCACCTCAAATTTTTCTTTATATATCCTAGTTCAAACATATATTTTTGACACGTTTATCCAATGAATGTATTTCAAACTTTTTCAATTCATAATTTTTTCTTCAGAATCACCAAAATTTATGTTTCGCTATCCATCATTAATGTTTCCATCTTGACTCCACCCACTGAAATGCTTCCATCCCACTCATCTAGAACAAGCCTCATTATGTCCTACACTAAGTACTTTTTCGTCATTGTATCTCTCTCTCCTATTCATTGTTAGATTGTGAGCTGTTTTCTATAGTGTTTTTTCATTTCCCGTCTTTTTCCGACACGATTAAATTTAGGACTTGCCTCATACTATTGCTCATAGATTTTCTAAGGGTGTAGCCTATCCATTTTCAATTGTTTCTATGGATTATTCTCCTGCCAGAGTTCACAAATCCACAATACTGATTATGTTTGGCCAGAAAATCTTGCATATAAAGTTCAATACATATATGTTTAGAGAAATTTTCTAATGAACGGTTAAACTTCATTAGTATGGATTTTCTTTTGACATTTGGTCGAACTTTTTTTAGCTCTCTCGTAATCACCTATTTCTATATCTTATGTAAAATTTTAAATATTGTCCTGTTCCAAAATTCCTCAATTCATTCCAGTTATTTTCCATCAGCAGATCTGTTACTATTTGCTGTTTTGTGTTGAATAAGGATTCTAGTCTTGTTCATGTTGATCTGTAAACTCGTCTGTGTCGTGACTTTCAAAAACTTATTCCTTTTTGAATGCATGTGGTTTTTGATAATGGTAAAGGACCACATGACTTTGGCAAATTTTAGGTCTCTTGGGAAATTATTTTAGTTTATTCCAGTACACTTTTCGGTTGTCCTTTTCATCACCTAGTAACAATTAGGAACAATATCCGTTATAATACACAGCCTAGTCACACCCGAATTGTACACATATTAATAGGGTGAATCTTCCATTCTACTCGATACTTGCCTTGCAGTGGTATCAAATAGTGTAGCAAGTTGTCGTATTTGCTTGATATTGAGTCAAAATACTCCACATTACATAGTGGACAGTAAATACTTAAACAATTTGAAAAGCGAAAGAAATTCTATGATCACAGTAACGAAGTAAGTGGTACCTTAAAGAGAAAGCAGTATTTCTCTTTAACACATTATTGTAGTTTTATATTTATATTTGTTTTAATATCCTGTATTTGCTCATTAAAGGTGTTTCACCCGACAAACAAACTCCACGTCGAAGTAAACTCCTGACCGGTTCAGGTGGAAATGGCGGTCAACAAGAAGGATTCCTGGAGAATTCGACAGCGGTTAGCGACTCCACGGGAGAGGAGTTGTCAAAAGCTTTGGAAGAAAAATTAACAAACAGTGGTAAGTACTGCTAATTAGATTTTCGTTTAATAAATGTATCACATGCGTTAAGGTCAGTATGAAATCATATACTACCCTCCTTTTATTCATTCATTTCGCCAAGTACTTCTGTTTTGGGTCTTTGCTACATTAAAAATGTGTACAATGTATGAGTTGCCTAGAAATAAGGCTTGCTAAGTGTATTAGGGTGGCTGTGGTCAATTCTCGAAGTAACTTCTTTTGGTCGGCTGTCTTGTTTAACAATATAGGAATTATATTAATAATAGACGGATTGACCATATTTTTAAGAATTATAATTTGGAATCTTTTGAGAAATAATTGTATTAGGGACTATTTTGTGGATCATAGTATGGATTGAGATATAGACAGCTATGGATTATAATATCGAATATTAGTTGGAACCTTTGTTGCTGTAAAAGCTTTTTTTTGTGTGGAACAATAAAAAAACGAGACTCCTCTACATGGATTCTCGGGAGGTTTTAGAGAAACTGAATATAGCTATAAGTTTTTAAAATATCAAAAGGGTGATCTTCAGGTTAGTGACTTTTATATTGACTCAGAGGTTGGTTGTTACGTGCAATCACAATCTCGCTCACAATCGTGTTATACTTAAATCGCTCAATAAATGCTAGGCCCGACATATAAATCCACCACTAATGATAAATATATATGATTTAGAAAGTGACATACAAGTTACAGTGATTGGTGATTTTAAAAATAATGTAAGAAGTATGGTTTCGTGTATTGATAAAGCATTGCTTCCTCAGGGAAAAATATTGTTCAGGAAAAAAAATACCTAATAAGTATTATTTGGACTCCATCGGTAAAACCGGTTAAAAGGTCAAGGGGCAAACATTTATTATATTTGGACGTAACTAAAGTTGATGGATTCGACCGTTACTTGATGGAAATTCATTTTATGTAACAATAAAATACTGAAAACTTTGTTTTCAAACTTTCACAAAATTTATTTTAAATCTTATCACTACAGATGTTTCGGCTGATAGCCTTTCTCAAGTGATCTATTTTTGACTTGGGTTTACAAATTTATAGTCTCTAATGCAATAGGTTGAGGAGGGGAGAACTGTTTGTCTCAAGTTGGTCATTCAGAATTATATCTGTGTTTTTTAATTTGTTGATTTCCATAGATTCTAACAAAGATAGCTTAAGGCCTTTATTTTGAATGTGAAGAATTTTAAATTTGTCATTAAAAGAATGATTATGATCTAGAAGGTGAAGAGCGTTTGTCGAATCTGTTTTTCTATTCTTGAAAGCCCTTTTATGTTCTGCTATTCGTTTATCGAAGTTTCTACCAGTTTGGCCGATGTAAGTTTTTGGGCAGTCGCCACATTGAAGTTTGTACACACCACTATTTAAGTGTTTTTTATTTTGGCTCTTGTTATTTTTAATATATTTACCTAGGTTGTTATTTGTTCGGAAAGCTGGTGTTATTCCTTTCTTTTTTATGTGTTTGGCAATTTTTGTTGTTATTTTGCCTGTATATGTAATCGAGCAGAAGGTACTGGGTTTTTTCTCTGGTGGTGGAAATACTAATTTCAGGGCTTTCTTGTGTAGTTTTTGATTTAACATTTTATTCATTGTTTGTTCGTTGTATCCGTTGTTTACTGCTATTTGCTTAATTATATTTAATTCTGTCTCAAAGTTGTCTTTTGACATCGGAATTTCTGTTAATCTATGTAACATACTATGATAAGCTGCTAGTTTATGTTGTGTTGGATGGGATGATGAATTGTGTATAGTCGTGTCAGTATGGTTAGGTTTGTGAAATATGGAGAAGTCGTGTTTGAAGTCTGCTAATTTTTAAATCTAAAAAATTTATGCATTGAATTTGTTCTGTTTCTATTGTAAATTCAATATGACTATGAAGTAAATTAATATAAATATATTTTTGTTATAAAATAATAAAAATTGGTCGAGTTGTCTGTTAGTTCCTGTGAAACATACCAGTACGTCGTCTACGTATCTCCACCAATATAAAAACTGTTTGAATACGGGATGTTTTGAAATCTTTGTCTCTAGATGATCCATACACCGTTAGAAAGAGTGGAAAAAATATGCTATTTGGACTGCAATATTAAGGATACTTGGGATCACAGCTACGAAATAAAAACTCGTATTGAAAAAGCCAAAAGCCCTTTTAACAGCTTTAGGAAGATTCTCTGCAACTTATCTTTAAGTATCAATATACGCATAAGAATAACAAAGAATAAGAAGAAAGGCTAAGAAAAGACAAAGAAATTATTAACACCGTAAAGAACAAAAATTAACTTACTTCGGCCACATCATGCGTAATTATAAATACCGACTACAGTTGATTCTACAATACAAGATTGAGGGTAAGAGAGGCCCTGGACGTAGACGTATATCCTGGCTTTCCAATCTTAGGAAGTGGACTGGACTAACGTCAATTGATCTATTTTGAGCTGCTGTGAATAAGATGGGTCAATGTGGTCGCCAACATATCTAGAAGATATGCACATTTAGAAGATAAGGGGAGCTTTGCCTAAAAATTGTTCTTTTATCATTAAACCCAAGACTTACTGAGTGCAAGGTCATGACTAGGTACGTCTTTATTGCCCTTACGATCCCACTCTTAAAAGAACCCGATGGTAAATCAAACCTCAGTAATGTATGGTTATCGCTTCATTCTTTGTAGCCTCCTAATATCTCATCTATCCTGCTAGACTTCTACTGAGAATAATTCGTTAAATTCAAGTAACTTTTCTAATTCAATACAATCTTGTTCGCAGAGGATGGAGGAGCTGGTAAGAAAACAATTGGTCTAAACGATTTCCACTTTATGAAAGTGCTTGGGAAAGGAAGTTTTGGCAAAGTTATGTTGGCAGAGAAGAAGAACACGGAAGAAGTGTATGCCGTAAAAGTATTGAAGAAAGACGTCATCATTCAAGACGACGATGTCGATTGTACCATGACGGAAAAACGAATATTAGCTCTGGCCGCCAATCATCCATTCCTGACTGCTCTACATTCGTGTTTCCAGACCAAGGACAGATTATTCTTCGTCATGGAATACGTCAACGGAGGAGATTTGATGTTTCAGGTGAGTTAGTTTAATATTAATTGAGTTTGAAAATTTTTTAATAAGAAACACAAATCATACAGATATGAAGAAAGTGTTAGATATTACAGATATTAAAAAAGTTTAAAGAACACCTCCAAAACATGTTCATAACACCTAATGATCCTAAATTTGATATTGCAGTCCCATATGTTACTGCAATGTGAGTCTAATTTGTGGTCAAACCAAAATAGTTCATAGGAAAACCAGGATACTCATCTCATGGCGACTGTGATGATACATTATCATCATCAATGGCTTTACAACACTTCGTGATTCTTTGCCGCGTTTACTATTGCCTTCCATTCTTGTCGGTCTTGTGCTACTATTTCCCATTATCTCATTCCTATTTTCCACGACTTAACGACCACTTGCGTAGCTGGGACCGACGTCTTTACGTGCCCTCTGCCTTTACGGCCGCCACCAGTGAGATATAATCCAAATCCAAAGGAATTGACCGGCGCGACGATAATGTTTGGGTACTAGAAAATTTATTTTGCATATAAAAAACATTTACATTTTGATACTTCCACACGCATACTAGAATTAAATTTTTACCTAGAAGTTGAATGCCAAAGCTGTACATCTAGCTTTCTGATAACCTGACAGGATCGGCCTCGCGGAGTATAAAGATAACCGATAAACCAAAAATACTAAATATTTGAAAGATGTAACTGCAAACACAAATACCATATTTAAAAAACTAATTTATGCATTATTTTATATTTCTAAATAATTTACGTAAATATGTTAATAGCGCTATAAAAATTTAAAATTAGATCTGGCAAAAATTTATTTGTCCATCGCGGATTTGTCAGCAGTTATGTTAATTTTTCAACATTTTATTGGTTGTATCGTGTCAACAAGTATTATTTAATTTTTCCTCAGTTATTAAGCGAATCTATATTGCGCAAAGGCGCCAATTCAAGGTTAATACAGAGTGACGCAATATACACTGCTGGACAAAAAACAACTTAAGGTTGATCTTCACCCACAATTAATTTGTTTCTGAACCTAGAGATGGCTCTACTGCGGCATGCTACTCTGGTAAATTTTTTAACTTAATTGTAGATTTCTACATGATGACTCTGTAATATTTTCAAACCCTAATATAAATTACAGTTTTCTATCATTATATCCATTGACTGAGTTGCCAAATTGTGTAGACAGTAATTTTATCAAATACGCTATAACTTTTACGCTTACTAGTAGACCAAGTTAGCAAAGATATCTTTAACAACATCTTTATGTATAATATTTTACTGCTCTGCTGTGTCAAAATAAACAAAGTTACGGTTTTGCAGGAACACAAGGTCTCATTCACACATATCATTGAAAAATGATCTATGTTTATTATCTAAACATTTTTATCGCCAAAGAGGTACTTAGCGGCGCTATTTGTGTCTGTAGCGGTAGTATCGTATTACCATTAAATTTATACATGCATTCATATATTATTTTTTTGTTGATAGTTAAAAATTAAATTATCTGGTAATATTAAATATTTTAGTGCGAATTATATGAAAAATGGTCAATCGTCTAAAACATGCGAACATGTCATCTTTTTATTACTGGTTTCAGGTTTGTTATCTTCCTAATTAATGCGTCTTCTTCTCTTATTTGTATGTGCTCAAATTATCTCAGTCTTTGTGGATTAATAAATTTTACTATCTCTTCCCCTTTCTATCTCTTATTTCATGCTTCATTATTCTTCTATATTCTCCGTGTTCAGGCCTTATTGGGCTGTTTATTCTTATAATTTTGCTTTTAATAATTCTTACTTTTTCTTTATCTTTTTTCGTAAGACATATTACTTTCGCTCCGTATGCTATCACTGGTCTAATTCCTGCCCTATATATTTTTGTCTTTGTTTTTTTGCTATCTTTAAGTAGTGGGTGATATTTCCAAATTACAACCTTCTTCTCTTGCCTTGTGTGCGTGGTAGTGTCATGCGTTAGATGTATGATTTGGGGTGGTTGATACGTATTTAGTTATCACGGTTATATTTGATCTAATTAGTTCTTCAGTTTCCGTATTCGACCGCTTTATAAAGCCAAATGTGATAAGTGGTATTGCGTATGTGTTTATTGCTTTTACTATGTGCTTTTAATTAAGTTTGCTTTGGAGTATTATTATTGTTATCATTCAGATTTAGCCATACGGCTCACACTCCCTCTAAGGGGAAAATTCACTCATCCCAGATACCTACGATATCAAAAGGATTGAGCTCTGGTGGGACTCTTTCCCTGTTATCGAGTCCTAGGTGACTTGGTACGTCGGTGTATCTCCTAAAAATTTTCGCACGCATCTGGACGTCGAAAGTAGCACAGCTTTCTGCATGACCTTATATAGATGTTCATTTAGACCCAGCTTTTTTATGTTTTCTAGGAGGTTCTTCGGAATGACTCCAGTGGTAGAAAGAATAATAGGTATCGTCTGGGTACTTTCCATTCTACATTGTCTTCTTATTTGTATTTCCAGATCTCTGTACTTGGCGATCTTTTCGTTGTACTTAACACTCAGATTATTGTTGTTAGGTATCGCCACATCGATTGGAGTTGTTTGTCTTGTTATTTTATTAACTAGCACGGGATCTGGTCTATTATGTGCTACAGTTTGGTCTGTGAGCACAGTGCGATCCCAGTATAGCTTGTAGTTGTCATTCTCTGTAGTTTGCTGGATCATATTGCGAGTGTCTTGAAGTGCTTAGCATTATTTGATCAGCTCTTTTAATGACTTTTCTACTTGTTGTTCCTCGTATATATTCTGTCATTTGACCAATGTCCCTACGCAATAATTCAATCTTGTTTAGGAGCCGTTTCTCCCAGGGTGCAACTCTGTATCAGTCCTTCCGGTATTAGTACCTCGTCGTGTTATGATCCTAATTCCCATTACATTAGCTGTTGCTGTTGCTGCACAGTAAATAAGCATATGCAAATATTCCAGCGTATGGGCTTGTACGAAGTAATTGGGTAGGACTTCAGTATTTATAATTCGTAACAGAGCACCTAGTTTTTTAGAAGAGTTTATTTTTGGTAGCGGTGGTCTGCTTTTTAAAATCATATGCTTACACGAGAAATTATGAAGAAAATTCAAGGAAGAGTCAGAAAAATTATTTCTGTATAAGGCTGTAAATACTGGCCGTCAATGAAATCAGTTTTTGTCTAAAATTTTGCAGACCAACGTAACGAATACTCATTAACTAGAGATTTAGTCAATCTTCGTCGAGCCCCAGACAAAAATCCTCATCAATTTTATGAATAAGGCATGAATATTTTAAATACTATTTCAAATCACATTGAATTGCACACATAACATGAGGAAGTTAAAAGAAATAAAAAATAATCTTTTCAACAAGCTCTAACCATATTTTTGGCAGGTCTAAGAGAACCCCTAGGGTCAACAATTCGATCCATGAGACCAGCGAATCTCGCTCTTGCTATCCGATATATTCAGAAAAATATTAGATATCTTAAAAAATCTCATAATTATTCCTTATCATCTTCTAACAAACCATCTGCCACTTCACAAATGACACAATTTAACTCATACACCCGCTCCTACACGATGGCAGTCTGAGGTACCCAAGCCCCAATGGCCACAGCCTTTCTTTAGGCAAAATCAAATGCCTTTGCAACAACAGCTATTCAACAATAGTCCAAGAGTGACATTTCAACCCCCTAGATTCCAACAAAATCAACAAATCACTTAATATGCACAAAATTCTACAACTAACCAACCCAATTTTCATAAAATATATCCATCTCAATCATATAAGCCAATACCTATTAGCGTATTTAGACGCCAAACCGGCAATAGACCCCAATCTCAAAGAAACTTCCGCTTTCAAAAGACCTGCAGGCCCCGATTCACGGTAGAAGAGCTCTTTAATATCGAACAACAAGAGCAATTATGACGAAGGTATATAAAAGAGGTATGTAGACACATACCCAGATTACTCTTACTATGAATAAAAAATCCAAGAATATGAGGACGAAGATGTAAATTTTCAAAGATTTCAAAAAGAAAATGAAGAAACTTAGTAGAATTGCATTCCTTTGCTGACAAAAGAGAGTTTCATTACATTAAAATTCAAAATCTCCCTCTTAAACTTCTTATTGTTACCAGAGCCACTAAATATTTTCTTAATCCTGATATAACAAATAAATTCCCCAAAAATAATATTAAATATGAACCAGTTGCTACATCAATTTTTTTGAATCATTCAGAAGGTTATTGTGTAGAAATTCCAATTTTTTCCGAATTTAACTCAAATATTAACTTAAAATTTTATATTTGCAAAGCTTACAAGACATTTGATGGTCTTAATCTTAAGGCTTCTTAAAGCAAATCTCGATTCTACCCAAGCTACTCTTACTACAGCGCATTCTATTCTTCCTATTAATTACTATGCCACAAATAAAGCCCAATTCTATATAGTCCACCAAGAGCCCTAAAGAATTATACAAGTCAAATTTACAGTAAAAGAAACATCAGGTAAAATCGTCATCCAAAAACAAGAAGTCGAAGGTGATATCCTAAGAGAAATTCTCACCGTCGCATATAATCAACTTGCCTGGACCGAGCTAGTCAATAACACCGATGAATATATTCAAGTAGCAATAACGGATCCCATCAAAAGTCAACCAATAAATCTAAGAAATGTCGATCCTTTCCTAAGAACCGATCATTTTAATTCAATAGAAGAATATTACCGAAAACGACAGTGCAGGAAGTTTGCATCATGCATATTTCATTATTCAGACGTCAGTTAACATTTACTAATCAAATAAAACATCATATACGAACAAGAGATGAAGTTCCGGTTTACACCAAGTCAAATCGGTATCCACACATCCATAAGGATGATCTATCAAGAAATCATCAAACTGAGACAATTGCCCTGGTCGTCTCCAATGTGGGTCATTCCAAAGCAACCAGATGCCCAAGAAAAATTAAATGGAGAATAGTTGTCGACTACAGGAAGGTGAACAAGAAAACCATCGATGGTCTATACCCAATTCCAAATATAAGACATTCTGGACAAACTAGGTCGCTGCAAATATTTTTCCACCCAGCTGTAGCCAGCGGATTACATCAAATTAAAATGAAGGAAGAAGATATTTGGAAGACTGCATAACTTAAGGGAACTTAACTGGAAGACTTAACGTTGAAAATGGCCACTATGAATGCCTGAGAATGCCATTCGGACTCAAAAATGCACCCTCAACATTTTAGAGAGTAGGTAATGGAGAACATAATAAAAAGACTTACAGGCGAAATATATCTAGTCTACAGGGACATTTTCAACCTCACTTTAAGAACATATGGTAAATCTTAAGAAGATTTGAGAAACAAGATTTAAAATACAAGTTAACAAATGTGAATTACTTAAGAATAACTAATGCTTATATTATAATATAAAAATTATCACTAATACGTTATGCAAGCAAGACTATTGTTTATAAATACTAAAATAATTAACTAAAAACGCCTAAATAGGTTTTTAGAAACTAAATACGTTTTTTATAGATATATTACTTGTAGATGGAATAGTATAGTATCTACTATTCTGTAAGTTCTAGCATGCCAAATAAAATTCATTCAAACCCATAACATTCTTATTAAATCTTGCTCTAATTTGTCAAAGTGTTGTACAAAATAATTGATATGGCAACCCTGCTAGTATGACGATTCGCTTGAAGCGTTTCGAGGCCGAAAGTAATGCAATCTATCGATGATAAATACTACCAACGTTTGAGATGGAGCCACCTCTCTAGTATACAATTTGATGCCGGCAATTCAAGATATAATTATTGTTTAACGAGATTTTTCATATGTTTAGGAAAAAATATTCAACGTTTTATTGCAAATATATTCCACTTTTACAGTTTTATAAATGTTGTTATTAAAATTTTTTCCGGTTTCTTACCGGTAGCTTTATTATAAGCCGGAACATAACATTTTTTCCCGTAGTGACAAAACTGTAAATTCAAAAATTTTCAAAAAATTCATAAGTATTTCTTAGGGTTGTATCTTTATGCTGTAAAAAAAAATATCAAAATTGTATGTCTGGTTTTCCCGCTTTATACTTGGAAAAAAGTAGTTTTTTAGAGTTTTTTCGAAAACAAAAACATGAAGTTTGTTCAAACTTTGTCAAAATACTTTTAATTGTCACATATACCTTCTCAATTTTTTTCAAATTTTTTGAATTTGTAGTTTATTTTTTGGGGGGTGCAGATCAACCTTAAATAATTTTGATCAACGATCATCTGCAATTTCTAAAGAAATAAATAGAACTTTTGTAGAAAATATTTTTTTAAGAATTAATCACAAATTGTAAAATAAATTATTAATTTTTTGACGTTTATGAATTGATCCATCAATTCACAAAAGGAGAAATCGGACACCATTCTACTGCAGGAGTAATTTAACTGATTATACGCGAAAGTTATAGAATAAATAATTGAAGAATTGCATCAAGAAGCAGAGGAACGATGTAGGTTAGTAGTAAAACTATAATAATGGTAATTAGGGGGTGATTTTCACGATGTTTTTACCAAAAAAAGGAACCAACTTTATCTTGAACTTAACTCGCTTAGTTTTGATGAGTTTTCCCCGAAAAATCTTAATTTTTTCGTTATTTCACGTTGAAATATTTGATTTGGAATTTGACAAATCGACTGGTCCAACGAAGACTGTTCGTAGACTAAATGTAAACGAGAACATCTCCTTGAAAATGAATCAAGTATAGGTATGCTCCAACCGCAGCACATCCCGATGAAGAATAGATAGACGAATTTTATGAGAAAATTGCAGAAACTAGCACGAATTATCATAGCACAGGTACGATGATAATAGAAAACTTCAACGCTAAGATCGGACAACGACTTGAGAAAACCGAAAACTATATAGGACAATTCGGCTCTGGAGTTAGAAATGAGAGAGGAGAAACCTTAGTTAGCTTCCTACAAGCCCACAAATACTATGCAATGAACACATTCTATAAGAAAAAACCTCAAAGAAAGTGGATACCCTAACTCCTCAAAGCAGAACTTGAAAAGGCAGATAACAAATGTCAACTCAGGTCAACGGTCCCAGTATTTTCAAAATTTTGTAAAATCCTTTGAACTGTTGAATGACCTGAAATTGGTCTATTGGGATATCTTACGCTAAACGCTAAATAAAGAACTGACAATTCGCGCACTATTCCCTGAATAAAACATTTAAATTATTGCTACTTCCTCCTCAACTGAATACATTTTTTAATCAACTATGTTGTTTTTTAAACAATAAATCACAAAATTAAAATTTTGGTAATTCAAATATTCTCAAATATCAGAAACATTAATATAACCAAACGCAACATTCATACACATTCAATGTCAATACAGAATGTCATACACATTCTTGTATCTCGTGTGGCCTGACTTGGGAAGGGGTGGTCTGAAAAATGTATTATATTTTTAAAAAATTTTGAAATCCATTTATTCGTAGAACAATTTTAACGTTTGTTTTTAATACATATTTCAGTCCTTTACAAATAGTTTCGTGTGAATTTTGATGTAAAATAATTAGGGAAGCAGGAATTCAATAATTTAGAATTCCCCATTGAATTTTCTATTGCCCGTTTGACGATTCACCACCCATTGTTATCTGAAATAATCCCAACAAAAAAAGTTTAAATTCTTGATTAAACTAGTTTTTTTTATTTTCTTGGTAATTACGAAGTATTATAATTTTGATTTATAATAAACAATAAACACTAGAAAGCACTGAATGAATACCTGTATTTTCTTTTAAAAATACTTCAAAAATTATTTCACAATCCAGTTACCTCATTTCTGTCTATATTTCCTCTCCTCGTGCTGTTAATATTATATATTGTATGTATTCCAATAAAATAGTTTCTTTTCCGTGTTCGGTTCCCCTTTGTTTTAGTTATTATACTTATACCTGCGTAGGCAAATACATAATTAACGATTTCCTCTTTCCGGTTTCAGATACAACGTGCCAAAAAATTCGATGAACCACGTGCGAGATTTTACGCTGCCGAAGTGACGTTGGCGTTGCAATTTCTACACAAACATGGCGTCATATATAGGGATCTCAAACTGGATAACATATTACTAGACGCCGAAGGACATTGTAAGTTGGCAGACTTCGGTATGTGTAAAGAAGGAATTCAAGAAGGAAAAACCACGTCCACTTTTTGTGGTACTCCTGATTATATTGCTCCAGAAATTTTACAGGTAAGGCTTTCATATTTCACATTATAATACGATGTGTGCTATACATTATTTCATATTTAGACTGTTTTTCAAATACATAACTCGATCAATTGTATTTTTTAACAAAGTACAAAATCGCTTGAAATACGTTCCAGTGTAGTTTGATGTATTTCGAAGTTTTTACTGTTTTTAAGCTGTTTTTTGTTTAGACGCGTTAGTCATCTAGCCGTATTTGTCGAGTACTTGATATCCAGATTTAGCCATATCACCCTCCCTCTAAGGGGAAAATTCATTTTTCTCGGATACCTACTGTATCAAAATAATTAAAATCTGGTGGGACTCTTTCCGTGTTATCTAGCCCTAGGTGACTTGGTATACTGGAGTATCTACCAAAAATTTTCGTACAGATCTGAACGTCGCGAGGAGCACAGCTTTCTTCATGGCCTTCTGGAGATGTTCATTTAGACCCAGCTGTTTTATGTTCTCTAGGAGATTTTTCGGAATAACACCAGTAGTAGATAGAATAATAGGTACTGTCTGGATATTTTTCATTCTCCATTGTCTCCTGATTTGTCTTTCTAGATTTCTGTACTTGGCACTCTTTTCGTTGTATTTAAAACACAAATTATTGGTGTTGGGTATCGACAGATCAAAAAGTAAGTTTATTAACTAGTATAAGATCCGGTCTATTATGTGCCACTGGTTGGTATGTGAGCACAGTGCGGTCCCAGTATAGGTTGTAGTTGTCATTTTCAAGCATTCTATCTGGGACGTATTGATAATAAGGAAGATGGTCGGTTTGGAGGAGTCCAAGTTTGTCAGCTAGTTCTTGGTGGATATTTTTTCCTACTGAGTCATGGCTTTCTTTGTAATCAGTACCGACAAGCGCCTGGCAGCCCCCGGTAAGATGTTGGATGGTTTCTTGGGTTTGGCATCCATATCGGCATTTGTCATTTTGGACTTGAAGATCTTTAACAATATATTTCAGGTAATTTTTAGTTGGAATACCCTGATCCTGAATAGCAAGTAGGATACCCTCAGTCTCGGGAAAACATCTTTCCTGATGTCAATCAATAGTTCGACGCTATATTTTCGACATATTCTTAGCTGATTTCATTAAGATGTCGCCCATGCAGAGGTTTCCTCATCTAGGTGCTCATTTTTTCTTGCGTAGTCAGGAGGTTTTTTCTCATTTCTTGTTCCCTCAGTTTAATCGGCGTTATATCAGTTACTGCGCAAATTGCTCGATTTAAAGTAGATGTCTCAGCCCGCGCCTTAAAATAAGTTCTTAAATTAGCAACCTGTTTATCAATTTGACCTCCTGTGTGTTGATGTGTCTCCAGATGAGTTTGGCTGTGAATTTAGTCCATTAGCCGGAGATCGTAAAATTTAACGTTTCCTTAAATTTGCTCATGTATTTTTTTTTCCCTAATCTTTAAACGGAAATTTTCTAGGAATTGGAATATGCCGCAAGTGTAGACTGGTGGGCTTTAGGAGTCCTCATGTATGAAATGATGGCGGGTCAACCACCATTTGAAGCCGATAACGAAGATGATCTCTTTGAATCCATATTACACGATGATGTCCTATATCCTGTATGGTTAAGTAAAGATGCGGTCAGTATATTAAAAGGTATGTGTAAAAATACGTTTTTGGGATTGCTTCATTACACAATAGTTTAATGGAAGTTATTTGGTACTGAGTATGTATCTTCAAATTAATTTTAAATATAGTACCGGTTGACCACAAACGCTCGTCACAAAAAACTTTTGATTTCTGGAATTCATTTTGTCGATTTGACATAAATCATTTTATGGAAAATAGTTCCAAGGGAGCTAGAACTCTTTAAAGATGGAGCCCTATCATCAGTTTAATTCAAATAATTATTTAGTGGAATGTAGCCAATGGTTTAAAGTGAACACGTGTTTTTATTGCAGTCATAAGTGGCTAGTTTAGGAGGGGTATTGGAAATTTTTATTCATAACTTTTTTGTTTTTTCAAAATTTCTTCTTTTTTACATAACATTTAACAAACTTCGATTTTTTTATAAAAATATAGATATGCTTTATATATACTTTTCATGTATCAATGCAAACGTTTCCATTGACTAACAAATTAATTTGTAACTGTGTTTCCATTAACTAACAAAAGAACAATTGTGTGCTGTCAAACTGTTGTACAAAGACTGTTTCCAACTAATAACTTGACATAGAAAATAAATTCTAGTAGCAATAAACTTTTTATTACACAAAATTGTAGATGATACAATTATTATTAAAAAAAAAAGTTTTGTGGAAAAGATATTACCACTATAATCAAACAAAACCGTCTACAGTGGGTAGGAACCGTCTACAACGCAACCTGTGGGAATGAGAAGATGCGGTAGAGGTTGACATATGAGGTAACACAGGATGCTGAAAACATCAGTATTACCAAATGGAATATTCAAGCAAGAGACATAGCAAAATGACGCAGAAAGCTTGAAAAGGTCGAGGACCTTTAAGGTCTGTAGCACTATAATGATGATGGTGACAACTGAAAGCATAAAACACAAAACTAAATCTACAACAGGTGCTCCAAATGACGGCCATCCGTTTCTTCGCGCAAATTTATTCGCGTACTTGAATTCGTATCTGATCGCGTATTTCTATTGGTTGTGAATAAACCATTGATTGTAACTATTCCCACACAGAAAAATCACAAGGATTTAAATCGGAAACACTTGCTGACCGAGCAACTAGACCGCCTTTTCCGATCCATCGCTCATGTCAATTATTGTCTAAAAAAAAGTACGTGAATCCTAATACAATGGAACGTGCAACCACCATATAGAAACCACAAGATTTGTCCAATATTTAAATTAATATTATAATATATTAAATTCTGAAGAGTATTGTAAAAAGTTGTGATAATTCTGACCATTTCAACGATTGGGCAATCCTACAGGTCCAAGCATATTATTAAGAACACCTATTTATACATATATGCTGAACCTTTCCTAATTGTGCATATTTTCGAAAACGTGGATTTTTCACAAAATAAAATTTGTAAAAAAGTCTTGGTTTTGGTTTTCTCTATTTTTTAACCAAGTAGCAAAATCAAACGACGGTCAAAATCACCGTTATTAATGACCAAGACTTTTCTAAAATGAAAAGGGTATTTAGTTTTCCTTATGCAATATTTTCCACGCAGAAGATTTAAATGCACTGGTACAGTTTGCGGCCAATGTTTGTACGCTAATTTCTTGATCTTCAATTACATACTCCCATTCCATACTCTTCATTCCATACTCTTCTACTATGTCAGCATTTCTTCCAGTTCTTTTTTTTTGAGGAATTATTGATGCTGTTTTTCTTATTTTCTGATGTAGATGATAGATGAAGAACTGTAAATGATTTGGAGCAGGATCTCTACCGTTTCGTATACATCAGCATATTCTTTAGTACTACACAAAACCATTATAAATTTTTTTTAAGTTTGAAATTTAATGTAATATTTAACAATACAATATCTCTTTGCTTTAAAACTAATTTGACAACTAACAATACCTATTGCAATACTAGTCATTTGACATTATTATAATTGTTATTTTGTTTATTTTCCATAGCCATCTATCACCATTAGAAATGAATTTGTTGGTCAGTGGAAGCGTATGCATTGATACATCAAAAGTACAAATCCATTTTTCTCGAAAATGATGCATCATAGGGACTTCAGATAAGGGCATTATTTAAAAAATATATATATATCTTTGTTAAATTTATTGTTATCCAATACAATGATGAAAATTATGAATAAAAATGCCCAATCTTGATTCACGCCAGACGATTGGACACATTTCACTAAATAAATAGTAGCGTAGTACAGTAACATTTTTGGATAAAGTGATTTACGATTTCAAATCAACATAAAATCCAAAGTTAGTAGTTTTCTTTTGTGAATAGCGTTTGTGGGAACTTTATATAGTAATATGCTCAACTATTTAATTAATCTTTTGTAGGTTTTATGACAAAAAATCCAAGTCGGAGACTAGGATGTGTCGTCGCACACGGTGGTGAATCAGCCATTCAAGCACACCCGTTCTTCAAAGAAATCGATTGGACTGCATTGGAACAAAGACGGGTAAAGCCTCCGTTCAGGCCAAGAATTGTAAGTAATTTTATTATAATTAGGATAATTCCAATGATGTATACTCGTAATATTTACATAAATATAACATAATATAAAAAAAACTAGTTAGAAAAATTATATTTATATGATTTTAATAAAACAAAAACAAAACAATTAATTGAAATTTTTGAGTATTCAGTATAGTCTAAAAAAATAATTTATTAAATAAACTAAACGTCTTCACCATAGACACATAATACAAGATGCCGTGCCGTCCCTGTACCTCTGTCTAATGGGCCGGATTTATCGACCACGTGATATTCTCTTTGGTCATTTAGGTCACGTGGTCGATAAACCTGCCAAACTAGATAGAGATGCAGAGACTGATTTGTGTCAGTTTTCTCTGTCGCAGTGGAGGAATGTGGCTGTATTGCAGTTGCAGCGCTAAGTCTATTTGTATGAAAGGTCTATGGCTGGGTCTATATATTATACATCATTACATAATTCGATCTACATAACCTCAAAATCATGCTATTTATATGAAGTTAAAATTTCATTATTTTATTAAATATATGTACTATTACTATTATGTAATCACTTCTTAAAATCGTTTTGTAAGAGGATTTAATCGTTAGTAGAAAAATTTCCAAGTAATTGCATAGAAATACATATAATTTAACGAAACAATGTTTGTGATTCAATTTCATTGTAATTATTAAATAAAAAATAAATTTCGTATAAATAAAAGTAACCATTAAGTTTATTTAGAAGCGTCAACATCCCTATTTCAAAATAATTAGTAAATGACAACTGGACATAGATTCACCATCACCAACTTGTACGCGTCCAGTACTGGACATGTCTCTCTCAGATCTTTCTGCCTGTCCCTGTTTTGTGCGGCTTATCAACCCTTTCCATCGGTACATTTCCCAATATGTATGTTTGTTGGTATATTTGTTTTTTTTTTGTTATTATCATGTATTTGGTCTTTTTTTATATTCATTTTTAGTCCATATTTTTCACAGAAACTGTTTGTTGTGTTTAGCAGTAATTGGAGTTATTCAGCAAAGCTTGCCATAATCACGATGTCACTTGCATATCTTATGTTGTTAGTAGATATTCCGTTAATTATTATTCCTTCACTTTGAGATACTAATGCTTCTTCAAAAATGGTTATTAGATAATCCTGTCTAATTCCATTGTAGCGATTTTTTCGATAGTGTCTGTTGTTTTTGTTCTACGACGTATTTTTTTTGTGATTGTTATTGTTACTGACTGAGCTTCTCTCCACTTATGTTGATACCATACTCGATCAGAACTGCCGTTTTACAAGTCTGTTTTAAAAGTGTCATGAATAACTTTGGAAAGACTGTATCTCCTTGCCGTACTCCTCGCTGTATACAGAATTTGTTTCTTGTTCAGATGTTTGGTTGATTATGTTAGTGTACCGATGATCTGTTCGAAATTCTGTCAATGCTGTTAGCATTTTCTGTTCGCTTATAGTTTAGATTGGTTTCTCGTATTCCACGAATATCAGTGCCAGTGTATAGTTGTATTCTTCAGACTTCTCTATCAGGTTCTTTATCACTAGTAAATGGTCGTTAGTGGTGTATCCCAATCTAAATCTAGATAGGATATCTCCAATCTGAATTGATGGAAGTCTAACTTGGCCTTCAGTCTTTTTTTTATAATATTTGCGAAAGTTTTATATATATATATATATATATATATATATATATATATAATATATATATATATATATATATTATATATATATATGTGTGTGTGTGTGTGTGTGATAACAAGTTGATAGGACGGTAGTTTTTAATTTTTTTTTAATTAAAGGCAGATATCGAGCTCAGTTCTTTATTAAATCTTGACCAAGTACTTTTGTGTACCAGACAAAAAATGAAATCTGTCTCCTGCTATTGCACATAATGTAGCCTCCAGAATAATTATTTTAAACTGTTTGTCCTTTTGTCTGATGTCTCTTAATTGTATAATTGTATATGAATGTTTTGGATGTGCTGGATAGCCTATTTTTTATGAAATGCTCCTGAAGATGCACTGAGAACGAAAGTACTTGGGCAAGATTAATAAAGAAATGTGCTCGATATCTACCTTTTATTTGAAGAAAGATTTGAGCATTTAACCATATCTTATTTAATATAACAATGACAACATTGTTCTATTGAGAAGAGGTTTTTCCTTAGTAGATGCATTCTTTGAAAAAATTTGTTTAAAGCCTGACTGTCGGGCAGCACTCATTTTCAGTTTCTTTTAGTGCCTTGTTTTGACACTATTTCCTTGTTCGATATTTTCTATTTCGTTTTCGAAATCTTATATTTATTTGGCTAGTATATATGTCGTTGTTTTCTAGGGGAATCCATCTCTTCTTTCGTGAGTTTAAGGTCATATTGGTTCTTTCAAATTTGATATTTAATCATATCTTTACCCAGATTAATCTGAGCTCGCTTTCTATTGAAAATTTGACTTAATATCGAAAAATAAAAAAATGTGACGTCGCTGATAAATTCAAATGATTATATACGGTTCCTAATAAGAGATAATT